CTTCGAACTACCAAAGTTTACATTTGTTGGTTGTTGTGTTGTAGTGTGTGAATGTCCACATCTTCGAAAACCAAAGTTTACATTTGTTGGTTGTTATGAGGTGACGTCTGATTGCCCACATCTTCGAACACCAAAGTTTACATTTGTTGGTTGTTGTGTTGTAGTGTGTGAATGTCCACATCTTCGAAAACCAAAGTTTACATTTGTTGGTTGTTATGAGGTGACGTCTGATTGTCCACATCTTCGAACACCAACGTTTACATTTGTTGATTGTTGTGTTGTGATGTCTGATTGCCCACATCTTCGAACACCAACGTTTACATTTGTTGATTGTTGTGTTGTGATGTCTGATTGCCCACATCTTCGAACACCAAAGTTTACATTTGTTGGTTGTTGTGTTGTCGTGTGTGAATGTCCACATCTTCGAACACCAAGATATACGGTACGCTTGTTAGTTGGAATCTGATGTATACAGCTAAACTATCACAGATGAAATCTTGTTTCTTTATGAACATACTCTGTAAAATGTACACGTTCCACATCCCAGCACACGGTAATTACTTGTAATAGTGTATTCAGTAAGTTGTAGTTGAACCTACATATTAAACTTGAAAAACAGTCCATCTATTGCCTGCGTTTCTATTTATTGACATAATGATGCTAGTTTGTCCCTATCTACGGAAATATAACTTGTTACGTTAAAATATCTGATGGCACACTTCTTCTACCAGTGATGATTCGAATCACCTACCAACTTGTAATTCAACATTACTTACCTGTGGTTGCCATGATGGCGAGGATCTCTCCTCCGCGGACCTCAAAAGACAAACCATCTAAAAGTCTCATCTTTGTTCTGGCACCCCCACATAGCCGTTGGAAAGCTGAAGATTTATCGATCTCGTATGTCAGGTCGCGCACCTGCAAGTGAGGATGTTTGACAGGAGCATTTTCACTTTCTCCTCCTTGTAAGGTTGAATAGAAAGTATCTTTTGGAAAGAACTTGTCGTTCAAGATGGGCATGTCGTGTCCATAAAATCCATCCGCACGTGCATCTCCATGAACTTCGTGATGAGCGCGAGAAGAGCGAGAGATGAGCGAGATGTGAGATCCAGCGTGACTGCGTCTTTCGAAATGACCAATGGCTCCTGGCATTGGATCTCGGTGATACCCATCACGTGACTCGTGTTGGGCGCGCATGACCCGTTGTTTAGCGTTTCGACCGTCCTGGTGGTTGAAAATTTCGTGACTCAAAAGGTCAGCTTCGCTACTGGCCTTCAGACGGCGCTCTGGACGAACAAATGAAGTTTCAGCTTCGTGATTGTCTTGCCGAATCACGTGGTTGCGAAAATCTGGATCACTCCGAGCTCGTCGTCGGTCCATACAAGGGGACCCGTCGTCACTAGAGTCGTAGCCACTCGAGCCGTCACGGTTTACTCGAGAGGGCGGAAACACACGAGGCAAACCGAACCGTAAGTAGGAAAAAATATTGTTCCCTAGTTCAGACTGTCGCTCCCTTGGACCGTACTTAGGGTGGTTCAGAATGGTCTGAACTGTTGACTCTCGAAGCTGGAAGTTTCCGAATGGAGGCTGAGACTTTTCCGAAGCTCCGAGAGCACTGTCGGTAAAATCCGAGTTCAGATTTTGTCTGTAAATGCTCCAGGCGTGCAAATCCTCGGTAGTTCGATATCGCGCTGCCGGTTCCGACAGGGTGCTGGGAGGGACGGCATAACGACGTTCCATAGTGCCCACTTCCCCCATAGCTTGGCCGGCCTGACAAAAAAAAAAAAAATAGAGAGATAAGTTGTTTGATTTCTGTTTCGCGCGCGAAGCTACACGAGGGCTATATGCGCTAGCCGTCCCTAATTTAACAGAAAAAAACTAGAGGGAAGGCAACTAGTCAACACCACCCACCGCCAGCTCTTGAGCTACTCGTTTACCGGCGAATAGTGGGATTGACCAACACTTGAAAACGTCCCCACAGCTGAAAGGATAAGCATGTTCTGTGGAGGAGATTCAACAAATATCAATTTAAAACACATATACTTATACAGTGCGTAATGTGAGAATAACCTTCTAGAACTGCACGGTCAACATAATTATAGTATGTAACATCACATTACAAATACGAAGGTATATTAACTATTTAGTTAAAAATAAATGTGATCAAGTTTAACAACCATCGCATTGTTCAAAAGTAAAAAATAAAGCCAATGGTGGAAATATTGTCGAACGGACTCTCCACAAAATCATATAACAGTTCATCTAAAAATAACGTTTCTCTTTATGTTTAACACCCAGTCTGCCAGTCAGGAAGACATATTTGATGGGTTAATTCCCAAGCAAAGCTTTCTGTTACTCTCTTTACAAATATATGAAAAGAGATTTAAGCTCGCTATGAATTATGGGTTCTGAACTGCCCACCAGCGTGGATGAACTCGCGCTAGTTTCCAGTCTATGAGGGAGTAAAACCTTAGCCCCATGCACATTTCCGTAAAACACACGGTAGTTGTCACACATGTTGCACAATACAGGATATGGTTTTTAAGCCAAATAAAGCCGTTTTCTCCGCGGTTTTTGCGAGTTCTGTCGGTAAAGATGGCCGAGGAAGGCAAAATGAAGCCTACTTCCCATTGTAAGGTGGCTAAGTGCGGTACCTGTTTAAAGATGGGCACTTCTAGTAGTTTGTGCAAGAGGAACGTAGTCTGGTCAAACCCTAAACTCCGCGTCTTCGTGGTAGATCACTACTGGAAGGTGAGTTCTTTTGGCAGTAAAAAGTGTTTCTTTTTTAAGTTAACAGATGGCGCCCTTTATGAGAATAGATTTGTTTTAGGCCTAACCAGAATACCGGATATCGTTACACCTTTCTATAGCCCACCCAATCCCCTGAATTAAATCTTATTCAGACTCGCAGACTGGGTGTTTAATAAAATTAAACACGTCATGATGTTCTACACAACAGCTTTTGTTAAAAATGTGTACTTTGGTCATTAAAAAATCCAGGTATGTAGATGTTGAGTCTGGTTCCATTTTGTAATAGACATTACACATAACACTAGTAATCATTACCAGAAACTTGTGATATTGATAAATAAACGTTCTCAATCAAATAAACTCTTTCTTATTGAGTTTAAAATCATGGATCTTTCGCTCATAACTATACTTTTGGTAATATGTGGGTGGGTCACGACTCCACAGTCTATCCCAAAACATTCGTACGTTCATAATAAAATGTATAAATATCACATATTACCGGGATAGACTGTGGAGTCGTGACCCACCACTTTAAAACATTCGTACGTTCATAATAAAATGTATAAATATCACGTATTACCAGGAGTGGTGGGTCACGACTCCACAGTCTATCCCAGAACATTCGTACGTTCATGATAAAGCGTATAAATGAAGAAGAAAGCCGTCAACGTATCTCGGTATACAGATTCGCATGAATTATCATACGAAACAAATAAGAAGAGTGAGGCGTCTCAGTCACGGAAATATAACAAACAGAAGAAAGGTCGCATGACACAACGACTACAGAAATAACTTTGGTAGAACCTGCAACATAAGGATACGGTTCACCAATCTTTCGCTCCACATACACTCGAACAGTTACACTGAACGGACTGCACGACAAACAACATGAACACCACGTGAAACACCTATTATTTGGGTCAACTGAAAGTAATAATGACTACATCTAAACATCTAAGACATGTATTGTGTGTCTACATTCGAGGGCAACAACGTTTCGCCAAACAGAAGTTGTGTTCACATTATAATCAGTGATAATTATCATACAGTGTGTTCACCGTTTCTTTACTGTTTGTTTAACACGACTCTTGCTGAATCGAAGTCGACAAGATGACTTTAACAAAATGTACTGTTTGTGTCATTGTTACGAAAAGTAAAGACATTCCTTAAATACCTATATCAGCACTTACTTACGGGCCTAATGCTCTAATGTAAACGTTCCCAAACAGATGACAGGACAACTTTGTGAATATTTCTCGACACTGAAGTTCAGTATAGACATCATACAGAAGTAGATACACCCTATTTATTACCGCCATCTATTAACGAATTAATTAACTATAAAATACCTTTGAATAACTCGTACATTTCCTGTTTCTTAAGTAGGTGATTGTATTGACATTAAATTACTCAATGACAATAGCCTCCACTAAAGCGTTTTTTCTTCTTAAGAGATGGATAATAGTTAATTACTTTACAGAAACGTAAACTGGAAAAAATAAATTTCCGAAAAACGTTAAAAATGTCACGCCTTAATTATTGATATTTATTTAAGAAAAGTTAGCAACTTCGTAAAGACAATGTGACTTCAAACCAAAGTCGGTATTTTGAAATCCACGTTCCAGCATTCATTAATATCACGCTGGTAAAACGTCTACAACAGAATTATTATACAGAAACCCCGATTTAAAAACTTATTGTCCTAGGAGGACAGAGACTAATTGAAAATCAAAAGTTTTATACTGGAAAGTTAGAATATAAAAACAGTTGTTACCTATCATTAAAACATCATGAACAATACCTACTGGATGTACATTCCAAATGGAATATTACTTGTTTTCAATAGCATTGTATCTACAGAAATATTTATTTATGGTAGTCATTAAAAGGCAATGCAATTTCAACTACCCCATGAAACAGTAGTTATCTTCCAGACCCTGCTATACAAGGTAAAGTAGGATACAATACAATACCCCATGAAACAGTAGATATCTTCCAGACCCTGCTATACAAGGTAAAGTAGGATACAATACAACTACCCCATGAAACAGTAGACATCTTCCAGACCCTGCTATACAAGGTAAAGTAGGATACAACACAACTACCCCATGAAACAGTAGATATCTTCCAGACCCTGCTATACAAGGTAAAGTAGGATACAATACAATTATTTCATTAAACACCAGATAACTTCTAGATCCTGCTATACAAGGTAAAGTAGGATACAACACAACTACCCCATGAAACAGTAGATATATTCCAGACCCTGCTATACAAGGTAAAGTAGGATACAATACAACTACCCCATGAAACACCAGATAACTTCCAGACCCTGCTACAGAAAATAAAACATCACTGGTTAAGCTTAGCACATGTTTCTACCAAATTTAAAGTGGTTGAAATCAGAAAAAAATTGGAATGTTATATCAATAGAGTTTGTTTGTTTGTTATAGAGTAAAGTTATAGTCTACTGCGGGATATCGAACTCGAGATTTTAGTGTTATAAGTACGTAGACTTACCGCTGTCAAACCCGGAGGACAATCAATACAGAGAACAATACGTGGATGAAAAGACGGTCACTATTAATTAATTGTGATCAATTATTATTCCAATATTTATCACAACCTCAATAAACTTCTTGAAAACAAAAATTCTAAGAGCACAACAAACATTAAAATATGATGTGTCCACGTGATTAAATCTCGTGTCTCAGGCGGTAATTCAGCAGTGACCTCACGAGATGACCTATGACCTTCTTCGATCTTTAGAGGATCTTTAAAAGTTTCTCATTTCTTGGTCAGCAGTACTTATTTTACACATTTTCTATTTATTTACACAACTGTCACACCTCGTCTGTTGAACAGTTGTGACGAAGTAAATAAAGATAAAATATCAGCGGAATAATTTTCTTCCATTTCTAATAGCTATGGCAACTTGTCGGTTGTAAGTTACACCTTTTTGTTTTGGCTTTTAACCTATTTTTATATTATATTAGATCATTGTTTCTAGAACATTAGAGTATCAAACAATTCTGTGTAACTATGCACGTTGCAATGACACGGGTGTTGTAGTTTTATTTACTTATTTAGATTGAAGTTATGTTTCTTGTTTTGGGTTTTATCGACGCCTGTGTTTAGTTCATGTTTCACCTCAGTTTCATGGAAGTTTACGTCATCATATTTATACATTTCAACAATATTTTCACCTGTACAGAAATCAATGGCACCGACAGCTTTCTTTTTTAACAGCGAAGGAATTACAAGCAAACTATATACTACACAAATGGAACAATAAAATATAAACTTACACCTGGTGGTTGAACATTATTACAGCACTGTACAGAATCAAACCATATTCTAAAGTTCTGTAATCCACGATGTAGGTTGAACTACACTCAGTGAACTCCTGTACTTCCAGTTTATATATACGCACATAAACAAGTAAAGTTCGCAAAAATGTGTAGAAGATTACGGGTAACTGGGTTACGCTTGCGTGCCCGGATAAATTAGTAAGCAGCCTCTAAGGTGCAATAATACAAGAGCACATATTTTTTTATGCAGCATCGAATCCAAGTTCGTTGATTCTTTACGTCGCTTGGAAGTAATTGTCTTAGGATCGTGTCTTAAAATAAGAAACAAAAAACGTCAATCAACCACAATTACAACAGTAAAACATGACCGAAATATTAATCTGTGGGTGAATATTGGACAATATCGGCTTCCTCTGCCAGCCGTTAAGCCAGGAAAAATTCCTCAATCATGTTATGTAGCTAAAACAATGTCTTAATCCTGTTATATGACTAATAAATAATGTTATAATCAGGTTACGTAGCTAAAACAATGTC